CATCTGTAGTATGCCTCATGACTTTAGGGTATTTCCTAAAGACAGTGAAGAGTTTTTTCAGTTTCACCTTCCCCTAAGGGTATTTGGGAGCGGTTTAAGTTCTATTTGATATTTTTGTTGCTCAGGCTTGTCATTTTGTGTTTCAAGCACTTTGAATCTTTGTTGAGAGGAAATGGGACTTTCATCCAATATCGCCTCATAAGCTTTCACTTTGATGTTTTCTTTGTTACTTTGGGCATCATCAACTAATCTCAAGCGTTGAAAATATCAAATAATCAACAAGAATCCCTCAAAGAAAGATTTTTCATAAGTTTTTCTATAATAAACTCAACCTTTTCCTCTCCCATCTCAAAATTTAACTTTCCTCTATTGACATCTATGATGGCCCCCGTTGTGGCTAAGAAAGGTCTTCCTAAAATTATTAGGATCTTAGGATCCTCACCGATGTCCATTATGATAAAGTCAATTGACACATAATACTCGCCCACTCTCACTAAAACATCCTCTAAAACACCTATGGAATACTTGACCAATCTATCGACAAGTTGTAAATACATGTTAGTATTCTTCATGTCTCCCATATCTAAGTTCTTACATAAAGACATAAGCGTTAGGCTAACACTAGCCCCTAAATTGCATAAAGCTCTCTCAAAGTCCATGGTTCCTATATGACAAAGGATAAATAAACTTCCTGGATCTTTGAGCTAAGGGATGACCATGTTTTAAATCACGAAACTAATATCAAGAGTCATGGCCATGGTTTCATGGTCCTATTGCTTTCTTTTATTGGAAAGGATCACTTTTAAGAAATTGGCATAGGAAGGCATTTGGGTTAGCACCTCGGTGAAAGGCACATTGAGGTGGAACTTCTTGAGAAGTTCCATAAACTTTTAAAATTGAGCATCCACCTTGGTGTTCATAAACCTTTATTAGAAAGGAACAATAGGTTTCTAGGGAGGATGAGCAATGTAGGGTGCTTTCTTCTCAACCTCTTCAATAACCTTCTTTTTGGGCAGTGTTTGCGCACTAACTTCAACCTCTATCTATTTAGAACTATAACCACCCATTTCCTTATCATTACAGGCTGTCACGACATTCAAATGTCCCTTAGCATTTTATTTGAGTTGTCTGGGAAATGATCCGAGAGGGACGAAAGAAGCGGCTTATTGTTGCGCCACTTGAGAGATTTGAGTTTCAAACATCTTAGTGTGAGTGACCACATTATCAACCTTGGTGTTCAATTGCCTAAGCGCCCATTGGTAAGGAGGTTTTGGTTTCTAAACTCATCATTTTGACCGATTAGTGTCAAAATAAAATTCTCTATTAAAAGTTCAAGGTTTGACTTCTTAGGCTCGGGTTGTGTAGCTTTTTGGAAACACAAAGGTCTAATGGCTTGTTGGGGTTATTGTTCCTATAAGAGATGTTTGGGTGATCACACTACCCCGAATTGTAGGCTTTAGAGTAAAGGTTGTTCCTTTGATTTTTGCTCACAAAGTTAGCATTCTCTTGGTTGGATCCTCCTATGGGGGCAACCAAAGCAATAGGGGCTAGAATAATAGATGTGGAAGTTGTGATGCTTAGGCTATCTATCTTTTAATAAATAGTACCCACCATAGCATTCATGTGATCAAATTCATTAACCTAATACATACCACTGATTTTAGCAGTAAACTTAGTGGCGATTTGTCACACACTTCCTAGGAGTGGTGGTTTTTTACCATCTCTTATATCAAATTGTAGGCTATATCTTAAGGATTATTCATTAGAGCTCTACCAGAAGTCGCATCTAAGGTCATCCTTGTGGAGTAAAGGAGACCATTGTAAAAGGTATGGATAATCACCACTTCTTAAGCCCATGGAAAGAGAAAAGTCTTAGCAAATCTTTATAACGCTCCCACGCGTCAAACAAAGATTCTTCTTATTCTTGCGTAAAGTTGTTTATTTCATCCCTAACTTGGGCTATTTTACTTGGCGGAAAGTATCGCACTAGAAAGGCCGTTTTCAATTGGGTCCATGAAGTAATAGAATTAGTGGGCAAGGATTGAAGCCAAGCATGTGCACAGACTCTTAAAGAAAAGGGAAATAGACGAAGGCGCATGAAGTTTTGATCAACACCATTTTCCTTAATGGTACCACAATTATCAACAAAAGTAGAAAAATGAAAATTGGAATTTGTTGCACGATATTAATCAAGGAAGGTTTTAGTTCAAAATTATTAGTCACAACCAGCAGGTGCATAATACTACAATGCAGTTCCTCTTCGGTGGGAATGACATAATCCTTAAGGGGCTTAATATCAACCAGATTAAGCATAGCTTCTAATCTAAGATTTTGACGTCTCTCTAATAAGAAACTCTTGATTTTGTCAATGGGATCAACTAAGCTATCAACTTAATGAGTTCTACGCATACAAGAGCTGTGAGAACCACAACAAACAAACATAATAAAATATGTCTTGATGGAGAAGTTCAATATCAAACACAATTGGTCCCTGACAATGGCGCTAAAAACTTCATGAAGCCACAAGTTAACGATTGTCGCGAAGTAATAAAAACAATATCTAACCACAAAGACCAAAAGTTTAAGTATTGAATTCTTATACAATCGATGTATATCTAAAGAAATAAAAAACAGGTGTTTTAGTAAACAAATTGAAAGAAAAAGCAATTAAATGAAAATACCTTAACGGAAAAATCACTTAAGTATTAAATTAGGGCAAACAGGACTCGGGGTTACAATTCATGTTTCTAACACCATCATAGGATCCTTATCACATTATTGCGAGTCTTTTGCATAAATTATAGAAAATAGATAAAAGCGGGCATTATCTGCTTTCGTCAGTGCATTTCCCCTATCATCGACAAATAATTTGTCAGCTTTCGCATTATCCAAATTATTAATCGATGAGTCATTACTTTTGCCTAGCTATATGTTTTCTTAAATTCTCTTGCTGGCTTTCGCATCGTCCAGATTAGGTTGTTTATAAATATGTGTTACGGTATTGACACATATCCTTTTAGACTACGGTTAACACTTGAGAACCACTTACTTTCGTAACGAAGTTCGAATGCATGCACCCAAATTATAAAATAAGTTTAATTAAAATTCTCGAAATCGATAATAAAAGATCATACGATAGGTCATGAAACAATCCTATAACCTATAGTCCCTAGGAAACTACTCACTCATGGCGGGGCAAACACAATCATAGAGGGGCTCATCATCAAAATCATAATAATTAAACAAATTAAATGAATATTATAAAGAGAATGAATAAAAAACCTGAATTGAATTATAAACCTTGATCCACCAATTGTTCCCTTGTAGAGTTTGGTTACAAAGAAAAATTAGAAAAATAGAAACTTGGAAAAAGATACAAAAGTTGGGAACCCTAAACTCATAACAGGCTATGAGTTTTATAAGGAAATAATAAAAGTGTCAAATATCCTTGATTCAACGCAAAATATTCAAATTTGACTCATATCCAATCATGTCTAAGAGCTACAATCAATAGAGAATCATTCTATTTATGGAAGCAAAACAAATCATGACTTTTCTTTTGCCTTCCTGCTACAGCCTGTATGAGCTGCTATGTGTGGTTGTAGCAAGTCACTAGAATCTTGCCTTACAAAGCTCAAAAAAGGTGGTCTAGGGCATCATGTTGCTACGGCTATAACACCCCTTTGACCTATGTATTGGAGAAAATGCTAAAAATTCATTTCCGCTCTGTTTCACTTGCCTTTGGTCCATCTTTGATTGGATGGTCATTAGACCCTGAAATTCACAATAAAACACAAACCAAAAAATAAAATATTACAAATAAAAGGAAATCAAACAAAATGCACTAAAATACTCTAAGAAAACAACAAGAAAGAAAAATGCAAAGGTCACATATCAATATAGTCTTGCTTTTAAAGTTTATGGAGGAATTAAATGAAAGGTTGGAGACGAGACTTAAAAGTGCATGATATGGAATGTAATTATATCAAACGAATAAGCATTTTTAACTTGGTGTTGAAAGTTGAAGATTATATCATACCACAAGTTACTCGATTTAAATATCTTAGATTCATTGTACAAACGGTGGAGAAATAAAAAGTGATGTAAACCATATAATTCAAGGTGGATTGTTGAAATTGAGAAGGACTTCATGTGTTTTACGTGATACAAAAATATCACTTGAACTTACGAAAATTTTGTACCATATTTTATGAGACAAAATGTTAGGTCGTAAAGAACCAACACGAAAATAAATTAAGGTTAATAGAGATCGCGGTGTTACATTGCATGAGTAATAAGGTTCTATAAAATAAGATTAAAAAATGATATTATTAAAGAGAGTGTTTGTATATAACTATAATAGAAAATGATGAATACTAAACTTAATAGTTTTAGGAATGTAGAGAAAAGACCTTACAGGGAAAAACAATTTTTTTTCAAAAACAAAAACCAACTTTAAAACTAGTATTGTTCAAACTGGTTATAGAAGCAAATCCGGTTCGGATTGGGTTTAGTATTGGTTTATAAAAAATAAACTGATTTTGGAATTGGTATTTGATTTTGATAAATTGTGTGTTTCGGGTTCATCAATGAACCACACCGTACACCCTAGTGTTTGACCAATGATCGCAAATCAAATACCATAGCATTGACAAGTACATGCATAAAGGTGAGTGGTAAGTCGTAGGAAATCCTATCTATAATATGCATAAATATCCATTCAGACACTTCAAGATAAATGTTGATAGTTCTCATAGGACGGGAACTTGTACCCTTAGTACTAGTAGTGGTTATTTCTATTCCCTTTTCATAAAAAGAAAATATAGATATTATTGTAGGAAAATGAAACACGAAGATTTGACAAATGCAATTCATTCATGTTATTAACAAAAAAAAACCTCATACAAGAGAGTCACATGAACCAGCCCATCATCACTACTAACAAACAACAAAACAATATTATTTCTGGCTACCAGCACTTGAATACTATTAACTAAAAATTAAGCGCCTGCAACTCCAGCATTATCAGCAGTAGCTAGGACAAGCTCAAGGTGGATTTTTCTTGTAGAATCCATAGCATTAGGAAGTCCAAGTGCTCTCAAAGCCAAATGAACTGCTTTCTGTCCTGATATCATCATTGCTCCAAATGTTGGACCCTGCATTTTCAACCAACAAACTTGATTTGTACTACTAGTAGTTCAGTACATGGATATATTTGAAACCAAAATGGTGAAAGTTTTTACCATTCTTGGAGCACCATCAATCTCAGCAACCTCCATTTCAGTAACAAGCATACCAGGAACAACCTCCCTAGTATGCCAAACAATAGCATCCTCAGTTGTGTTCATGTCAAGAGCCTTCATTCCAGGAACAGTTTCAATCAAACCAATACTCTTGAGCATCTTCACACTAGTGGCTCCAAAAGTACCATCATGTCCACATGAACTCACAACAATTTTAGACTCCATAACATTAGGGTCCATGCAAGATTAAGAGTCATGATTCTATGCAACCAAAGCCCAGTTAGTGACAACACCACCAACTCTCCCATCCTTCACAATCAAATCCTCCGCAACCACATCATTGAAAAGCTTCACGTTTGGCCTTGTAAGTAGCTTGCTCATGATGGTGGATATGAAGAGAGTGGCGTGCTTGATCACAACATAATCGTCTTGTTCATCATACTCAACTTCAAGCTCGTCCATGAAATGGTGTGCTGGTTTACGCACAACCTGCATCACACACATCAATTCAATTCATATATGTCAATATCAATTCGTCTTCACCTACCAAAAAAAGTTAAATACATAAGACCAAGATTTTTAAAAACGGTGACAAAACGGTATCGGATGTGCTGATACATTTTTATGACAAAAAAAAAACATAGTGAATTTAAACCAAGGCGATCGAAATTGCAAAAGTCTTTACATGACGCGATCTAGACTTTTATTTAAAAGCTTATCGTTTCCATAGAACTCATATATTGGATCTATGATAAAAACATTGTATAGAGGACAATAAAAAATATATAGAACAAAATATGATAAAAACAATGGAAGGAGTGGGAAGAGAGAAGAGTTATACCATTGCTGAGAAGAGTTGGTCGTCGAGCCAAGCACCGCCACCAGGACTGACGGATTTTTCGATGATAGCGATTTTGACGTTAGGATTCTTGTTGAGCTCGTAAGCACATGAGAGACCGGCGGAACCGGCACCTACGATGACAACATCGGTGTTGGCATGTGTGACTATGTCGGTCATGTACCTGCGAGTCATCTCGCGTGAAACAATAGATTTCTTGATGGGAGCGAATTTGAAAGCGTTAAGGTCATAGGAGGTTGGAGGTGAAGGTGTTGCATATGTCGATGATGATGCTGATACATGTAGGATTGTTTTGGTTTGGATCCAAAGGTAAGGGTTCGGTTGAGAGATGAGGATTTCTCGGTGAGAGAAGAGCTAGGGGATTGGGTGTAGAGGAAGGAAGAGGTAATGGTGGAGGAAGCCATGTTTGATGTATTGTGAAGTTACAATGAAGTGTTTGAATTTAGTGATTAATTGTTACGGGATGGGTTATTTATTGAGGAAATATGGAGATAGAAAGTATAAAATTATATTTTTTGAAAAAATGCATGAAGACACGTGGCACACTTGTTGAAATTAACCAAATAAACAATAAGAAAAAAAATTGTTTTTTTTATTATCTCACATTGCAACCGACTAATCTTAGAAAATTAATCAAACTTTTCATTAGTTTTTAAACATAGTTTGCATGAACCGTCTCAAAAATGAGATTTTGAAAAAAAAAATACACTCAAAAAAAGGTGAACTCTTTTTTAATTGAACAAACTAGAAAATTGAATACTTTAAAATATAAACTTATTTAAAATAATTTTATATTAATAAAGAATTACTCTTCTATGGTTATTTTTATCTTTATTTTTTCAATACTATGAATAATATTTATGATCTATAAGCCACTAAAAAATTATATTTATGTTCTATATAAATTCAATAAATCTGAAAAAAGTAAATAATATTGACCGGAGAAAATAAATTGATATACATTCAATTAAACTATTTATTTTGACTTAAATTTATTTATACTAATTTATGTCACTTTGAACTTATGTATTTGTAATTGTAGGGAACCAAGATTTCATTATTAATATTTGTAATTAGAACAATTCTTGTAAATTAATTTCAAAGCGAGTGAATTTAATCTGTTAATGAGTTTTAATTAAATTCAAATTGTTTGACCAGTACTACTTGAGTGTGATTTTTTTATTTGAATAATTAAGTAAACTTTATTTATTGGTTAAGGGATTTTATATTACTTAGAAGCATTGAAAGAAATTAAGAAAAAAGGTATGAATATATATATATATATATATATATATATATATATATATATATATATATATATATATATATATATATATATATATATATATATATATATATATATATATATATATATATATATATATATATATATATATATATATATATATATATATATATATATATATATATATATATATATATATATATATATATATATATATATATATATATATATATATATATATATATATATATATATATATATATATATATATATATATATATATATATATATATATATATATATATATATATATATATATATATATAAAGAAAAAATGTCTTAATTTATATATATTTTTTACATTTTTTGAATTGAACTCTTTATAGAGATAATTATAAAGATATTTCTAAATTAATAACTAATATAGTTATTGTTGCAAACTAGATCTAAAACGGGAATAGATCAAATGGAATAAAATTCTTTTGCAGTGTAGTGAGTTTTTGGTGCGATAGAAGGAAATAAATCTACAAGGTTAGGCTTCAATACTAAGTTAATGAATAAGTGAGAAAGTAGTATGAGTGTATGAATAAGAGTATGTATGAAATGTGGTGTTTCACACGGATTGTTGTCTGAACAAATCTAACAGTGGAGAATACACTTGAGGGAGAAATGACATGTCTTCAGCTGTGGTGATGTCCCACTTGTTCCGTGTATCTTTCCATGTGATGCTTGTAGATGGACCTTCCATCGCAGGCCTAAGAATGACTCCTAAAATTTACCCCCTTATGCCATTGTTTTTACCTGTATAACGAGTGCTTATTACACATGCATCCACTCCGACTTGAAGTAAAAGAAAGAGGAATATCTTTGACGAGACATTAATAACATTGGGAATATGCATATTAATTATTCCCTCATGATTATCAAATATTTCACAAGGGAGTCTCAATGTGTGGCCCTACGTCTGGTAGACTTGATGTTTTCATGTACTAGAGTATTCGAGTATTCTGAACAATATGAGGCAAGATATTGATTGTCAGTGGTTTGCACTTCCCAGTGTCTACCACTGTGGATCGTATGGTCATCTTTATTGAAGGATATATGTGGATTTATGAGGTTATTATCTCATTTTTCTGTCATTCGTCAGTCTTGAGAACTTTCCTCATTTGTTTGCAATTTTTTTGACCTTCGTCAATACCCTTTGATTGGCCATTATTCAGATACATTTGTGTCTCTTCCTCTAGAGGAGCAGACAACCTGTGAGTCAGAAAGTTCATCTTCTTCAAGGTAACACTTTAAAACGTTTCTCTTCTTCTATATTCATATGTGTTACTAGGGTTTGTGGAAAAGAGAGTTATGAAAAGTTTTGAAGGAGAAAATCGCCATCAATGGTGCACGTTGGGTGACAATATCTACTCTAAAAAGTTGTTAGGGCTTTGGTCCTTCATGTCTTGTATTTTGGAGATATACCTTGTTATAGATGACTTTAAAAAGGATGTGAATCTTAAATTTATGTTGACATCGTGTTTCCATTGATGGTTATTTCTTTTTATATGTTGGAAACCCTCTTTAAAATGGACAATTCTTGCCCCGGATCCCAGAACACAGTAGGAGACAACTAGTCAGTGTGTATATCAAGAGACATTTGATTTTGTTTTCACTTTTGTAGGTGTCATACCCCAAGTTTGTCCTACCTTTTTCAAAATTTTCATTCGCCCGACTTAATTTTTTATTTACCTCGCTTGTACAACGTAGCGTATTTTTCAGCAAAAAGAAACATTTTCACTTTTTAGCTCAATGAATTTGTGACACGTGACATTCTATTTATTTATCATTATTTTTGTTTTATAATTTCATTTTCTATAATATGTAAATACAATATAATACTAAGATTTTAATATTAATATTAGTTAATTAATTAGAATTTTAAATAGATTTTAGATTTAGATTAGAATTTAAATTAGGATTTTAAATTAGAATAGAATTAGAAAATTTAGTTTTCTAATAAGAAATTAGATTAATTTTAGAATTAGAAATTAGATTAGAATTAAATTTAAAAAATTAGAATTAATTAATTAAATTAGGATTTAAGTTAGAATATTAGTTAGAATTAGTTATTAATTAATTAAACAGAAAAATTAAAAGAAAAATTATAAAAAAAAAACTCTTGTTAAATGAATTTTCAAAAAATTATTTTTCCTCGATTAACTTCGTATTAATGCAAATCAGAAACCTCTTCAGACTTAATCGTTGCACTAAAATATTTTCTTAATTAATTATGAAAATAGTGGATTCTTGGGGTCTAGCACTCTTTAGATCCTTGAACGAATGCTCTTGAAGCGCACGCTTCGGGTTGTGTTCGCTCCGTCTTTCATCTCTAAAAACTTTTAATTAATTTGGATCTTTTCTCAAATTAAAATATTAAACCTTTAGAAAATTATACTTTATTAATTAAGTTAAAATCTTTTTCTAAGATGTTATTTTTTTTCTCAAAATAATTCTCGATTCATTGAGCAATTTTCTACCTTTGTAAGTCGAGTGCTTTCAAAGTCTCGCCATCAACCTTTAATCACCATACACAACATTTAAAGCTTAATCCTGGGCTTCCTTACAGTGAAAATATTTGATTAATTATCTCTAGTTGGTCACTTAGAAGACTAGCCCACTTTGCTAGTGCACACGTTTAAAACTCAAATTCAAACCTCGACTCACCTCGAGTATTTTTCTTCAAAACAATGTAGATATTGAGCTCTTGAGGTCTAGCACTTCTTGGTTTCTCGAAGGATTGCTCTCAAGGTGCACGCCTTGGGTTGTGATCCTTTCGATCTTACATTTCTAGAATACCTAGCGCGCCTAAACCAAATACGCTAATTCATTCAAATTATTTTCTTAATCAAATTACGAAAGAATTGAGTTCTTGGAGTATTGCACTCCTTGAATTCTTGAGTGACGACTATTGAGGTGTACGCCTTGGTTAGCGTGCCATTTGAAGTTTCGTTCCTAAAACACATGCCCTAATTACTTGGACAAGTACTTCCATCATCCTACAAACACAATTTTATAATTAATGGAATGAAAAAGATGTCGTTGGAATCTAGCATTCCAATGATATCCCGATTAATTGGTTGTGAGGTT